AATCTGTGATTTGAATGAGATTAGATGGTTACTTAAAGGAAAAGAAAATTAGATGACAATCTGCATCCAAGCCATTAGAAAACGTCAAATTCAAAAGGTTAGGCGAATATGAACGGGCCTCTGGGCCTTGTGGGAAGTACAGACTCCTGAGGCACAGGGCCAATGCACCCACTTCCTGCTGAGGTGATGGCTGGCTCTTCCTGGAACCTCTGCACTGCATGCAGCCGAATGTATTTCTCAGCGTTGTGAGCAAACGAGCTACAGAAGCCTGCCCCATCTCTCCCTGGTGTACACACCATGTGCTCCCAGCCCCCTGCCCTCTAAATTTTAAAATCTCTGTTCGGATTGACCATCAGGAGGGCTTGAAATTCTTTAGTGTCTCAAATCATGGTGGCAGAATAGAGATTACTCTGATTTCCAACCATCCTAACCCCCTTAAGTAACTCCCAAGCCACAATTTCCCCATAGAGTTTCTGAGGCTGTAAATCTCTAGGGGAATAGACTGCTTCAGATTTCGCGCTCAAAGATGTTGGTGGGTTTGAACATTCAACCTTGTGATCAACAGTCCACTGCATCACTTTGGCTCAGTCATCCTAAGTTAGACCTAATTTTTACCAGCTCCAGGTAGCAGAGAGAAGCCAAAGGCAATGCTTTGGCAGTTGTTCCTTCTGGCTTGGGAGCCATTGGGAGGCTGGGTGTGGCTTGATTTGGAACAGACTGAAGCTTTTCCCTCTGTAAGCCCATATTATCCTTTAGACCGGTTTTGTTTGTTTCTTGGCATATGATCAAGAACTGAAGGAAGAAGTCCAAGCAGAAGTGAATGCACTGGTGAACCAGGCTCCAGGAAGTAATGGGAAACACACTGAAATCTTTCAACAAACTGATGCAGCCCTGGGGGCTCTCAATCATCTGTACAAGAAGGTTTGAAGACAGTTACCTGGCCAACCAATTGGAAGGCATCTGTATTTGTGCCCATTCCAAAGACAAGTGACCCAACAGAATGTGGAAATCACCCAACAATATATATTTTACATGCAAGTAAAATTTTACTGAAGATAACTCAAAAATGATTGTGGCATTAGATCAACATGGTGCCTCTAGAAATTCAGGTTGGATTTAGAAGAGGATGTAGAAACAGGGATATGATTGTTAATGCCTGATGGATTTTGGGTAAAAGCTGAGAATACTAGAAACATGTTTGTGCTTTGTTGACTGTGTGGACCATAACAAAGGCTGTAGCACTCAGCACCTCAATGTAAAGAAAAGCAAATCCTCACAACTGGACTAATAGTTAACATTATGATAAACTGAGAAAATTGGAGATGGTCAAAGACTTTATTTTGCTTGGCTCCACCACCAACACTCATGGAAACAGCAGTCAAGAAATCAAATGACATGTTACATTGGGCAAATTTGCTGCAAAAGATCTCTTTCATGTGTTCAGGAGTAAAGAGGTCACTTTGGAGACTAAGGTGTGCTTGACCAAGCCATGGTATTTTCAATTGCTTCTTATATTGCCTGTTAAAGTTGGACAATGAGTAAGGAAGATCTGAGAAGAATCAATGAATGTATTTTAAATTATGGTGTTGGCAAAGAATATTGAAAGTACCATGGATTTTCAGAAGAACAAACAAATCTGTCTTGTAAAAAGTACGTACAGCAAACAGACCAGCCTGGAGCAGCTAGAAGAACAGAAGATACTTCTTGAAAGAAAGACCTACAGGAAAAATACAAAACAATAGAGGGAGACCGACTATTACTACAAGAACAAGCAACTTGCTTGCCCAGGAGACATCAAGGCAAGTGGTTGGGTCCCTTCAGTGCAAACACTCTTCCAAGACTAAGACTCAATGGTAATACACGCTGATTGGTGACCATGTTCGTCACCTGTAAGGGGAAGTGAGGAAAAAACAGTAATGAAGCAGCGAGATAAGCCCTACAATGTTCAATAAGACTCCTGTGAACCCAGGTGGAGACCTGGTTGGCCAACAGTGTGGCAAGACCTGCGGACTCTTGGGCCCAGAGTCAGTGACACAGCCACGGACGACTAGAGTGGAGAGTGAAGCGTCCAGCTGATAAGAAGAGAGGGGATATGCACAAGAACACCCACACTTGCAGATAATACCCACTTATCCTGGCTTCAATGACTGGATGATCAGAGCTCAACCAGAAGAAGGAAGAAGAGGGAAAAAAGTGTAATCTGATACAATTTGATGAACTTGACCTACACCTATGGATGCAGTAGCTCAAAAGAGGAAACAAATCCTTGCTGCAAAAATCATTCCCATCCCCTCCACACAAAGAGTAGACAGGGATGGGCAACTTGGACAATGGCTACCAAAAATGGGGGTGGGGGGCTACAAAGGCAAGAAGTGACTGGCTACAAGCTTTCAAGAGGGAACCTAGATCCAGAGGGCATGGAGGAAGGTAGAATCTCCACTGAGTAGTATTCAATCTGTCTAGGCAGTGCTGATGAAATGAAATGCAGATAGGTCTCTTGTGATACAATAGTAAATAATTATTATCAGCACTGATTGTGAGGGTTGGAAATGTAAAGGCAGACATTTTATAGCAAGGACGGGAGTGATTAACTTTTCAGTCTAGGAGCGGAGATCCCTGGGACCATGAAGGGAGAAGAGTGGAGAGCGGGACCCTACCCAGAGAAGCAGTGGTGAAGGGAGTGTGTGCTGATGACCGGGGGAGGGCAGGCTTGCAGGGTATACCCTTTGGTTGGTTGATGATACTTGGAGGGGATTGTAACCATGGCAATGAAACAATATACGATAGAATGAATGTAAAACGAATATTCTCTCATGTAAACTATCACATAATTCACAATAAAACATTAAAAAAAAAAAGTACGTCCAGAATGCTCCTTAGAAGCGAGGATGTCTTGTCTCATCCTTTGTACATGTTTGAACACATCAATCCCTGGAGAAGGACATGATGATGCAAAAGTGGAGCGCCAGCAAAATAGAGGAAGACCCCCAACAGGATGGATTGACACAGTTGCAGCAACAATTGACTCAAACATAGCAATTTTGTGGGTGGTGCAGGACTGGGCGGGGTTTCATTCTGTTATGCATAGGGGTTGCTGTGAATCAGAACTGACTTGATGGCACCCTACGATAATGGTGCATTTTTCTTTTCAATGATATTTAATGGCATGAAGGAGGCACAGCACACATGTTTTCAAGCAAACCACTGTCAAAGCTACCTTCAGAGTTTTCTTCTCCCCATCTTCCTTCAGACTGTGAGGGCCTGAATGCAGGGTGGGGAGTTGAGTGTAGAAAGAGACAATGAGCTGTCTTGCATCTTTCTTTAGTTGTGAAATTTGGAGACCAATGTTGTAAGAGAGGGTTTCTAAGTGAATGAGAACCAGATAAATGGGCCATCGATTTTTATACTCATTTATGGGATGATTGATGCTGTAAGGGATAAACAGTGGAATTTTAGTTATAATACTTATTCAAATATTTTTTCCCTCTCCCTGCCCCACTCAATGTCCAAATGGGTGTTCCCCAGCAGGCAACTGGCTTCCCAACAGGATCTCGAAACGACCCATCTTATAGGTCCACTGGTCTTCATGATAAGGTGTCTCTGTGAAGATCCTGGAAACTCTGCGTGGACCTGTTCTTTGGGGACCAGTCCTGCTCAGCTGGCATTGGTTAGAACTCAGCCCAGTGAGCACACCCAAAGAGAGGAGTGTTCATTACCTAGCCAGTTTATGTCACAGCTGCCGAATCCCAACGGGGAAAGGGGACAATCAGAGAGAGCATTGAAACACTGGCCGCTGGCAGCCAGCAGGGGCCAAATCTTGAATTCTATGAAAATGACACACGAAATTCCTATAGTAATTCCGTAAGCTGGTGAACATGTGGATTAGATCTGTGATAATCCTTTTGGGTATGGTTAACAAAACAAAACAAAACACCAACCCTATAGCACAGAGTGGAACTGCTTTGTAGGGTTTCCAAGGCTGTAAATCTTTATGGGGCAGACAGCGTCATGTTTCTACCTTGGAGTGGGTTTGGACGGCTGGCCGTCCGGTTAGCCTAGTGCATAGTCACTGGATGTGACAGGGAACAGTTACATCAACAGACATTGAGTACCAAGTTTTTTAAAACCCACGGCAGACCACAAAAAGAATCAATGGCTGAATACTTATATGGAAATCTTTGAGGCCCCAACATCAAGCGAGAGTACTCACTTTAATCAACATTTTAAATCCTGATCTTCTCTGGTTGCGAGTCAGGCTGCTAACCTCAGGGTCAGCAGTTCGAAACTTCCAGTGGCTCCACAGGAGAAAGCTGAGGTTTTTTGCTTCCATAAAGGTTTACATCCTCAGAAACCCTATACAGGGTCACTATGAGTTGGAAGCGACTAGATGGCACTTAACAACAAAGGTTGTCACAGGTGATATTACAGACTTTGAATTTGGATAGAGATGATTTAAAAATTATTTGGTGTTTATTTTAGGGGAAAACAATTTTAATGCAAGAGAGATAATTCCTCGTTCATGATTGGTGGGCGTGGTTGTGTGCCACTGAGTCGGTTCTGACTCATAGTGACCCTGTATAGGGTTCCCAAGTTTGTAAATCTTTATGGGAACAGAAAGCTTCATTTTTCTCCTGTGGACCAACTGGTATTCTCAAACTACTGACCTTACGATTAGCATAACTCATATTGCACTACGCTCCCAGACTCAATTGTGATTAGACACTTTAAACATCAGTTACTAGCGTTTGTGTAATATTTCATCCCCCTTACATTTCCCGTTTTACTGGAAACAGGTGTTTTCTCTGGGAAATGTTTAAATGGTAATTCGGGCACTTTCTAAGACTGCATTGGTGCAAACAATGATTTCTCTATGGAGATGGGAGTTTGAAAACTAAATGCATTGATGGTTCTATATCTGCTTGTGGAATGTGCTGTCTTTAGCTACAAGATGTGCGTGTAGCAAACCCATGTTTTCCTGTTATTGTTTTCCTGCTTGCTAGGAGAAAAGTGGAACTCATGCACACCCACAGTCTCTTCACGCTGCTGGGAGAAAGGCTAATGCTGCACACCAACACAGTGACCGTCACCACGTACAACACGCTCTACGAGGTAAAGAGCCAAGGCGTCAGTCAGAGCATGTCTGCTGAAAAACCTCTTCCAGCTAACCCACAAAGCTGCTTAAAGCTGAAAATCATAAAAATACGAGGGAGCTTCACAAAGTTCATAGAAAAATACCATTATCTTCTCATTCCATTTTTCCATGAACTTTTGGAAGCCCCCAGTATAGAACACATCCCTGATTCTTGTTAGGTTTATTTAAAGCCTGCCCAGGTACAGTGTGCTCATCTTTTGATACTGATTGGAGTTGGGTAGGTCTGTTTTGTTAACAGATATTAATGGGGTTGGGAACAAACACAGTCTGTCAGCAGAGAGCCCTGGCCAGTCTGTCAGCAGCTGTGGCCTGAGCTCTGCCTCAAAGGCCCAAAGTGAAGTGAGGCTGATTGTGACAAGGCTCTGCTGACCAAGAGACCTGCGGCCCCAAGTGCTGGTAGCAGAGGACTTCAGAATTGTTTTAGGGCTAAGCTTTGCAATTGATAGATTAGAGATTGTAATTTTTGTATTTGTGACCCTCTACTTCTCTACTTGTATCTGCTGGTTGGGAAGCTCTGTGGCGCTGTAGGATAAGTACTGGACTACTAACCACAAGGTTGGCAGTTCAAGCCCACCAGCCTCGCTGTGCAAGAAAGATGAGGCTTTCTGCTCCCTTAAGGATATATAGCCTTGGAAACCCTATACAGGGTTGCTATGGGTCAGAACCTACTCAACATCACACAACCATAGCAGCAACAACACCTTGCGCAACTTGTATTCAGACCAGTTACCCAGGACCCTCTCATAGCACACATCATTTCAGAGACACCGATACTCAGCCTGTGTGTGAAGTAACTGATGAGGTCCAAGGAAGAGAGAAAACCCAGTTCACAATAGTAAGTTAGACTGCGTAGGGGGTAATGTACACATCAGAATTATTTGTGAAAAATGAAATCCCGAAAATAAAAAGAAAAGCTAGTCTGGACGCTGATGTGCAGCCCATAGTTTTCAGCTCAGAAACCCCTTTCTCATCACGCCTGCAGATGGCCACGTATTTTCTGTGTCGTAGATGGACCGCCACACAAAATAGCTGTTTTCTTTTTAAGTGCCTATAAAATATTAAGACTGTTTCCTTTTGTTGAACGTTTATTCTACTTGTCTATCCATTATCTTCCTTGGTTCTGGTTCTTGAATGCAAGAATCACCTATGATTGTATGCTGTGAGCTGAGATTGGTTTTGAATGATAGGAACCCAAACCCACTGCAGTTTAGTCAGTACCAACTCATAGTGACCCAAGAGGACCGAGTAGATCTGGAGGCAGACGGCCACATGTGTCCCCTGTAGAGCAGCTGAGGGTTTGGATGCCCGACTATTCAGTTAACGGTCGAGGGCGTAACCAGGGGACTGCCAGGGTTTATTAAATGATTGAATAATGATCAACAAAAGAAAACATCTCGTTGCATGTAAAATGATTTGAATTTTGGATTTCAGTGTTCACAAATCAAGTTTCATGGCATACTCACTTACATTTTGCGTTGGAAAGTGTGTGGTGTGCTGTGTGGTCCCTGCTCTGTGCTCTACAGACCATAAGGTGCAGTTGGCACTAGGGCCTCAGGGCATATCAGTCTATCACACCGAAGTAAAGACTGAGAAAAGCCAACTGGAAGCCTCACACTTGTAAAGCATGACGTTGTTTGGGGGTCCCCCTCACCTCCCCTATGCTCTATGGCATTGGACTGGGAGGACCACAGGGCTTTCTTTGGCTGATTCATCTTTTTCCTAGCCTATCTTAGTCTAGAACTCCCACAGAAGCCTGAGCAGCATCTTAGCAATACCCACGGCTTGGCTGACAGATGGTGGAGGCTGTGTGTGAGGAGAATGTAAGGCAGGGATCCCTCCGCCGGACCACCACTGCCCCCTGGTGGCCACAGGGCCATTAACTTGCCCTTGTCACAGCACAATGAGGTGGTCATGAAGTAGACACGTTCCACAGTGTGTGTGTAAAACAAGCAAGTCAGACTGCTTTCCGTGGACAGTGGGGTCCTTTCAGACAACTTTACTACAGTGCTGAAGTTCTGAATGCCTGTTATTCTCGGCACAGCGTTGTTCTTGCTCGCTTAGTGGCCGCCTTGCCTGCTCATCAGTCTTCTCGCGCGTGTATAGTGTTCTTGTTGTGTGCGTTGTTTTCTTGTGCACGCATGTGTTGTTTTGGCACATGCATGCGTTCTTGGTAGAGAGGATGCATGCCACCGAAAAAGAAACTTAAGAATCAAAAAATTGGGTAGCTTGCCGACACTAGAAAGGTTCTCTAATCCCTGAATACCTATAGCTAAGCAGTTTAATGAATGACTTAGTATCCCTCCGATTTCCAAAGCTGAGTCTGTGTGTACAGAATGCTTTAGTACTGCACCAATCTCAGAAGTTAAGCCTACGTATACAGAATACCGTGGTGTTCTTTCTCAGAAGCTGAGATGACCTTTGTTAGGTGCCATGGAATCAGTTCTGACTGATAGTGACCATACGAACAACAGAATGAAACCCTACGCGGCCCTGCACCATCCCCACAACTGTTGCGACACTTGAGCCCATGGCTGTTGCCACCATGTCGGTCCATCTTGTTGGAGGTCTTCTTACTCTGTTGCATGGACCATCCACTGTACCAGGCATAATGCTCTTCTCAAAGGACTGGCCCCTCCTGACAATATGTCTGAAGTATGAGAGACAGGGTCTACATCTCCTGGCTTCTAAAGTGTACTTCTTCCGACACAGATTTGTTTGTTCTCTGGCAGTCTGTGGTACTTTTAATATCCTTCTCTAACACCATAACTCAAATGCATCAATTCTTTCATGGTCTTCCTTATTTATTGTCCAAGGTTGCCATGCATGTGTTGTTAAGTGTTGTCGAGTCATTTCTGACTCATACTGATCCTGTATAGGGTTTCCAAGGAGCAGCTGTGGTTTTCAACAGCCAGCCTTGTGGTTAGCAGTCCAGTGCTTATCCTGTAGCACCGTATGAGGCTACTTTGGTCAGGCCCACCTTAGTCCTCAAACTGACATATTTCCCTTGAATCACTTTCAAGAGCTCGTGTGCAGCAGATTTGCCTCATACAATCTGTCCTTTGATTTCTTGACTGCTGCTTCCATGAGTGGTGATAGGGGATCCAAGCAAAATGAAGTCTTTGCCAACTTCAGTCTTTTTTCCATTTGTTATTGTATTTATTGGTGCAGTGGTGAAGATTTTTGTTTGCAATCCACACTGAAGGCTGTGGTTGTTGAGCTTCATCTGTAAGTCTTTTAAGTCGTCTTCACTTTCAGCAGGCAAGGTTGTATCACCTGCATTTCACAGGTAATGAGTTTTCCTGCAATCCCGATGCCAAGTTCTTCGTCATATAATCTAGCTTCTCCCATTTGCCTTAGCATACAGATTCAATAAGTCTATTGAAAGAATACAATCCTGGTGCACACCTTTCCTGATTTCAAACCATTCGATGTTTTCTTGTTCTGTTTGAATGACTACATCTTGGTCTGTGTACAGATCCTTCATGAGTACCATTAAGTATTCTAGAATGCCCATTCTCTGCAATGTTGCCTCCAACTTGTCAGGATCCACACAGTCACAAGCCTTTGCCTAGTCAATGAAGCACAGATAAGCATGTTTCTGGTATTCTCTGTTTTCAGCCAAGATTTTCTGAGGTCAGCAATGAATCCTTTGTTCCATATCCTGGTCTTAATCAGGCTTGAACCCCTGGTAGTTCCCTGTCAATATACTGTTGCAGCTGTTTTTGAATTATATTTAGCAAAATTTTGCTAGCCTATGATATTAATGATATGAATGATTTCCTCATTCCATTGGGTACCTTGTCGGGGTCTTACCTCGACATAGTTGTCACGAGTGTTTGGTTCATGAGGAGGGGAGATCCAGCAGCGATAGGGATAGCGAAAGAATACTCAGACAAACAGAAGAAGGGAGACAATGAGGCACCTTGGGCAGGCTTGGGACTACAGGCATCATAGCCTCTGCAGGCAGCAATTCACTGCCCTGCAATCTTTACTGCATGCCTTCCAACCCGTAATGCACCGCAATCTTTACTCCATGCCTTCCAACCAGTAATGCACTGCTATCTTTACTCCATGCCTTCCAACCAGCAATGCACTGCAATCTTTACTCCAGGCCTTCCAACCAGTAATGCACACCTGGGGAGGCTCGGGCCTCTGCTTTATTCAGGGGAGGAGCTTCACACCAAGCTGGGAGGGATCTTTACAGAAGAAGAATGGTATTATTCAGACAAGACAATCTTTAAGATAAATTAAGCCAGTAAACCTTACTTAAACCAATATTCCTTTCTTCCTTACTGGGTTTAACCTTCACTTGGATCAAACTGATTGAACCCAGGGTGGTCCGAGGGCGTTGTCCCCATTGTCCTTAATCCTGTATTCCCAGAATTTACCGCTCCACCCCAAGTGAATATACCCCGGGCAGTTCCTCTCCAGAGCCTCCCTGCTTAATCCCAGTAAACCTGTCCTTGTTCGTCCTCTGAAGAAGTTTTACTGCCTTGGTTCTAGGGGGAAAATCTTGACCTTAGAAACTTAGGGGAATATTGCATTTCTCTGTGCACATCCACGGCGCATCTCTGGAAATAAATAAATATGACTAAACAAGTTGATGAAAAACAATTTGCTATTAACTGCCAAGTGGCTAGATCTGTTACACTCAGGCCTATAGGGCCTCAAACCTCTGCACAGTCTGCAACAGTACCTATCTTTGGAATTGGCACAAATATGGATCTTTTCTAACCAGTTGGCCAGGTGGGCGTCTTGCAGATTTCTTGGCCTAGGTGAGTGAGTACCTCCAGTGTTTCAGCGAGCCTGTGTACAGAGAATGCCTTCTTATTGGTGTTAATTGCCGTTGACTCTGTTCCGATTTACAAGAGCCCTGCCAAAGGTTTCTGAGGAGTAGCTGGTGGGTTTGAACTGCTGACTTTGTGCCCCTCCAATCTCAGAAGTGGATCCTCATATTCAGAACTCCTAGTGCTCCTCCATGGGTTCAATGTAAGCAGAAAGCCTTAGGTCCTCTCTTGATTTCATAGGGAAATTTCTATTTAAACAAAAAACCTTAGTCCCCCTCTGATCTCATAGGGGGACTCTTATGTATACAGAATGCCTGAGTCCCCCTCTCATCTCAGAGAGGAAGCTTACATATGTCGGATGCCTTAGTCCCTGCCGAATTTAGAGATGGAGCCTCCGTAAACAGGATGATTTATGCACTGGGTGAATCAGAGAACCAGCATTGTCTGAGGTGAGATTATACCTCCTGCAGCCTTGCTGGATTACGTTTGTAAGCGAGTGACTTATGCTTTAAATGTACAGTGCTGGGCTCAGGTCTGTGTCTATAAATAGCATATTTATCAAATTACCTCACTGCCTGCCAGTCACTGCCGGCTCCCCATGCTGCCCAGTAAGCACTTGAAGCAGGGCCCATGTGATTGGCCATCTGTTTAAAATGTTAAATATACACTGGATTTTATGTCCGTATCTGGCTAAAAATCCTCGGTGCTATTTTGTTTTATTGAGAAGAAGGGGTACCATAACCGAAGCTGCTTTCTTCTTCTTTTCCAGGATCAGTCAATACCATGTTATTGTTGTTAGGTGCCATCGGGTCTGTTCCGACTCATAGTGATCTTATGCACAACAGAGTGAAACATTGCCTGGTCTTGTGTCATCAGAACTTTAAACACTTGTATTAAACAGAAATATCAAAGTATAAAGCCATTGTTTCTCAACACAGACTCCACCCAGGTGGACACACTCCTGAAGGTGGTATTTCCCTCTCTCTAGCTCTTCACCCAAGAATTCTGTGCTCTTCCGTTTACACCACGTCATCCTCAGGGAACTCAAATCATGTTTCTTTTCA